CGCCAGCCACATACACTGAGGGTGGCGGGTTTGAACCTGGCCTGGGCCAGCTAAACAACAATGACAACTGCCACATAAAATATCTGGGTGTTGTGGCGGGCACCTGTAATCCCAGCTCCATGGGAGGCTGAGGCAAGAGAATCACTTAAGCCCAAGATTTGAGGTTGCTATGAGCTAGATGCCACAGCACTCTACCTACCGATGGCAAATCCTGAGGACATTGTGCTAAGTGAAATAAGCCAAACACACAAGGACAAACACTGTGTGAGTCCACGATATGAGGCACCTAAAGTAGCCAAGTTCAAAGTGATAGAAGATAGAGGGTAGCTGTGAGGGCTGCTGGTGTTGGATAGGAACAGAGTTTCCGTCTGGGAAGAAGGAAAGCTGTGAAGAGGACCATGGTGCTGGCTGCACAGCCCTGCACCTGCACTTTGTGAAACAGGTCAAGTGTTAAATGTTATGTGTTGTGTATTTTGCCACAATTTTTTTCTTTTTTTTGAGACAGAGTCTGACTCTGTCACCCTCGTTAGAGTGCCATGGTATTGATACAGGACAAGTGGCATCCCAGCCAGCTCGTGGAGCTGGGGGGCACGGACCTGCTGCCTCCACCTTGGCAATGTTGGGCTGGAGGGTGGGCAGGGGGTCCCCATTTCCTAGGCCTGGGAATGAAAGGGATTGCAGCCATTCATTTGCGACCCAGACATGACCCAGACATGTCCCAGACAGATGTCCCAGACACTATGTCCCACCAAGCCCTGCTAAATGTAACTACCAAGGGCCAGACATGCCCCAGACACATTGTCCCAGACATGTCTCAGACACAATGTCCTAGACACCCTAAATGTAACTACCTAGCCCTACTGAGGGCCCCATGCCACTGTTATGCCCCTAGACAAAGAGCCTACAGAGGACAGAGAGGGCGAGAGAACACTTTTCTCTCCTGACTCCAGTTTTCTCTCTCTGCCAGGAGCTCTGGCACTTCTGTATTCTTTTCTGTAAATAAATCCTGTCTTACCACTGATCTGTGGTCTGTGGATTCATTCTTCGAATCACTGAGACCAAGAACCTCCTGAAGAGTGAAATTCCAGTATCAGTGTTACAGCTCACAGCAACTTCAAACTCTTGGGCTCAGGCGATTCTCTTGTCTCAGTCACCCAAGTAGCTGGGACTACAGATGCCCACTACAACACCTGGCTATTTTTAGAGACAGGTCTTGTTCTGGCTCCAGTTGGTCTCAAACCTGTGAGCTCAGGCAATCCACCCACCTCGGCCTCCCAGAGTGCTAGGATTACAGGCGTGAGCCACCTTGCCTAGCTACTTTCCCACAATTTTTTAAAAGCTGGGGAAAAAAATTAAAGTAAGTCAGAAATATCTACAAGAGGATAAAGAGTTCTGATGGGGGTATAAGGGAAGTCCTGGAACATCAGAGAAAATTGCTGGTGTTGCACTGTGAAGCCCTAGTCTGCAGGGCCCTGGCAAGGACCTCACTTCCCTGTCTCAGCTCCCCCACCTGGTAGGTAAAAAGGCAGGCAGCCCAGGGAGTGACTCTATCCACCCCCTCCACTGAAGGGCCTAGGAGGACTGAGTGCTGCATCCATAGGACATAGGATCTTACTTGACCTGCAGCTGTTGCCACAGTGGGGAAGGAAGGAGAAGGCAGGCTCCTGGGCCACTGCACAGAATGCTCATTCGCACAGAACACTCGTTCAGACACTGATGACGGCCCTTTTCCAGTCCTGTACCTAAAGCTAACATCTGCCCTGAGTCTGCATGTCTCAGTCCCTCCAGCCACCACACTGAAAGCCACACCTGGGGCCCACACTTTTTTTTTTTTTTTGCATTTTTTGGCCGGGGCTAGGTTTGAACCCGCCACCTCCGGCATATGGGGCCGGCGTCCTACCTCTTTGAGCCACAGGTGCCGCCCCGGGGCCCACACTTTTGCAGGGATAGCCCACAAATGCATCCAGACAGCCTACCACGCACCAGATGCTGCTCTATTGGCTCAGAGACTGGGGCACTGTGGCCACTGAGTTTACAAAACACCAAACCACTGAACTCTCACACACCTCCCCGGTGACTGGTGAGGACAAAAGGTGGCTGGTGGCTGCAGGAAAGCTCCAGTACTGGATGCCCTGAAGAGGTCACAGAACTTGGCAAAAAAAGGACATTAACATCCTATATCTAGTCTAAATAGATTTTAAAAAGTGCTTCTGACTGGATATACTGTACTTTTCTCTCCCAAGATCATTCAAAGGAGGCTCGGTGCCTGTAGCTCAAGTGGCTAAGACGCCAGCCATATACACCCAAGGTGGCGGGTTCGAATCTAGCCTGGGCCCACCAAACAACAATGACGGCTGCAACCAAAAAATAGCTGGGTGTTGTGGTGGCCACCTGTGGTCCCAGCTACTTGGGAGGCAGAGGCAGGAGACTCGCTTGAGCCCAGGAGTTGGAGATTGCTGTGAGCTGAAATGCCACGGCACTCTACCCAGGGGGACAGCTTGAGGCTCTGTCTCAAAAAAAAAAGATCATTCAAAGGAAAGTACTGACAAGTGGTAACTTAGGTAGCACAATAGTTTAGGTCCAGAAAACCTCAGGGTGACTCCTTCCCCAAAACCTATAGCTTTTAGAGATCGTAAATCAAAAGCCTCCCTCCCCTTCCAGCCAGCCTCCCAGCACTGCATGCAGGAGGAGCTATGGAGGGCAGACAGGGAAAGAGAGGATCTGGAACAGGGAAGGGGTGAGCCTTGCTGGTCTGTTTTTCTGTTTGTTTGCTTTTCTGAGACAGAGTCTCACTTTGTCACCCTGGGTAGAGTACTGTGGCGTCACAGCTCACAGCAACCTCAAACTTTTGCGCATAAGCAATTCTCTTACCTCAGCCTCCCAAGTAGCTGGGACTACAGGCACCGGCCATAACACCCAGCTATTTCTGTTTGTTTGTTTTGGTTGTAGTCATCATTGTTGTTTGGCAGGCCCAGGCTGGATTTGAACCTGCCAGCTCCGGTGTATGTGGCTGGCACCTTAGCCACTGAGCTACAGGCGCCGAGCCTGTCAACATGTTCTTTTACTCTGCTCCAGTAAACTATAAATCTGAAGTTCCTCTTTGCAGAGCTGTCAGTAAAGGGCTGGGCAGGATTTGCACCAAAAGGTACACACGTGGAGGACATGAAGGCCCTCAGCTGCCCCCCAAGACAGTCCTCCCAAGGATTTCAGAGTCTAACCTCATAGTCCATGGCACAGGCAGCTCCAACTCACTTCTGGTACACAGGTGTCCGGGTCAGCAGCCTGGAAGAGGATACATACACAGAGTGGGTGGCTGCTCCCTACAAGGATACCCCGCAGGCCCCTGAGGAAAGCCGAGGAAACCGGCCTGGCTCATAGCAGCACGGCCCGCTGCCACCAACCCAGCCCTGCACACCCTGGGTTTCCTTCTTTTTCCTTGGCACAGAGCCATGTGTGGCAGCCCAGGGAGCAAGCTCTGGACATTTCAGACACTTGCCCAGGTACTTGGGTCTCCCAGGTCAGTCCCACAGCCTCAAGGCTCACCTCCCAACTCTAAGCCCAGAAAAACTTCCCAGATCAGGCAAGCAGTGGGCAGTATGGCTTACAAATTATTTAAAAACAAACACCATCACCACTACCACCACTATCCCACAGCCCATTTCTTCAGAGTGCAGCAGTGCTCAGAGTACCTCACTTGATCGTCTCTTCTGTTCCACACAGCTACACAATGGGCAGTGTGAATTCTGACTTAATGGATGAGAAAGGTTCAGAAGGTAATTTTCTGAGGACATTCAACTAGTAAGCGACAGCCAGGACTAGTAAACGACCATCCAGCAGGTCAGTTCTCTCCACTGGGCCAAGAGGCTTCAATGGGTAGACTAGAGAAATCACTCATCAATAAAGATCTCCTATAAAAGGTTATTTAAAAAGAGAGCGCACAATTGGCCCTTGAACAGCACAGGCCTGAATGGCCCTGAGATAGCAAGAACAGCCCCTCTGGCTCCTCCTCCTCAGCCTACTCAACATGACGGTGATGACACTGAAGACCTTTATGATGACGCACTTCCAGTTAATGAACATAAATACACTTCCTCTTCCTAATGATTGTCCTTGACATTGTTTTCCTTACTTTATTATAAGAAAGTATATAGTACATGTAATAGTATATAATACACATAAGATATGAAATATGTGTTAATAGACTTGTTTATGTTATCAGAAAGGCTTCCAGCCAACAGTAGGCTATTAATTATTGAGTTTTAGAAAAGTCAAAAGTTATATGTGGATTTTTGGCTTTGCAGGGATCAGCACTCCTGACCCCCACTTTGTTCAAGGGTCAACTGTAATTACATAAAAGAGTAAAGCTTCCATATGACATTATCTACCAAATTAAATAACCCTGTTGTAAACAACTGGACAAAAACCATTTGAAAATTGAGTTTAGTTTAAAAAAAAAAAAACCAACAATGAAATATATACAACCATTAAAAAGAGAGGGGCCAGGCACAGTGGCTCATGCCTATAATCCCAGTACTCTGGGAGGCCAAGATGAGCTCAGGAGTTCATGTGGGTGCAGGTGCCCCAGGGTGTGGTGTCCCCCAGGTATGGGGGGCAAGACCAGCCTGAGCAAGAGGAAGACCTTGTCTCTACTAAAAACAGAAAAATTGGCTGGGTGTCATGGCACATGCCTGCAGTCCCAGCTGCTTGAGAGGCAGGAGGATCACTTGAGCTCAGGAGTTTGAGGTTGCTGTGAGCTATGATGATATCTGTGCATTCCAGCCTGAGCAACAGAGTGAGATTCTGTCTCAAAAAAAAAAAACAAAAAGAAAAAGAAAAACAAAAACAAAAAAGAGAGAGAAAGGTCTTATTCAGAAAGATGTCTAAAACACTACATAAAAATTCTCACAGAAAGGTCTGAATAGAATGATCCTACTTCAAAAAGCATTAACCTGTGTGGGTGTGTATACACACAATATTAGGTTGAACCAAATGAAACAGTCATTTTGTAGGGCAAAACCAAACATCACCAATTTCATATGGTTCTTGGACACATAGGAAATACACACAAACAGAAGAACAGCCAGTCAACTTGTCTCCAAAAAGAAAGGAGGGGGCTCCTAGCCCTATGTGAAGAGGGGCCAGAATGAGGCCAGCACCAATGGAGGTGTGTTCCTCCACCTTACAGGGGCACCTGCCTCACTGGGTGCAACTGCATACTTGGTACAGCCACCTCCCTGGCTGAGGGGCTCATGTCAGCCTTGGAGATCATGCACAGCTTTAAGCTGCACCCTGGCCTTCCATCTGGGTAGTCTGGAAGAGCCCACTCCCTGGCTGGGTGTTTAGGAGGAAGGGGGCCAGGTGCAGCTGCCTCAGGTATATATGGCCAGAGGCGGAAGCTGTAGGACCCTGACTCCAGGGCCATCCAGAGGCCCTACATAGGGCACCAAGATAAGGGACTAAACAGAACATGCCTCGTAGGAAGCAGGCCACAGAAGCCCAGCTGCCTTCCCAGAACCACTGCCAAGGTCATAGCACAGTGCCCCACAGCCCTGGTCTCTGCCTCAGGGCACAATGCCCCCTCCCCTTCACCACCATGTTCTTCCAGAAACAGCTTCAGAAATGTATGTGAGGGGAAGGTTTACCTATCAGCCCAGCACTCAAGTGATAGCTCCCAAGAACAACTGAACTGACGTCCCTCCAGACTTACACACATCCACATCTACACACAGACCTGTGACCACCTCCTCACTCCAATAAATAGTCTTCCAAAACACTCTGGTGTCTAACCCAGTCCAAGATGTCACTGGTGCCCGAAGCTGAAAACCCTGTTCTGGTGTGTATGTAAACACCAGAATACAAGTAACCCCCTACTGTTGGACACTGAAGTAGTTAAAAATTTTTCATCATTAAAATTAGGACTATGACGAATGCTCTGGTGTGACATTTCCCCCATTAACCCCAGCATCAAATGGACTGTAAGAGATGTGAACACACGGTGGGCCATTCTGTGCTCAGGCACATGGCAGTAGCTAGAGAGGTCAAGAGTGAGAGCAGCTCCCCTGGGCTGTGCCCTCCAGGCCACACGCCCTGCACCCTGGGGACTCTTGTTCCTTGGACTCCCATACCAGGGGGACCCCACACCCTGGGCTCCTACAACCACAGGAACTCTGAGCTGCTCACTTCTGAGAGACAGTGGGAAGCCGGCCAGGCAGGCAGGCAGGGAAGGGGGCAAATAACAACCAATCTCCTGCCCCCTCTTCCTCCCCTGCCTCCACCTCACTTCAGAACAAGGCTTTCAGTCACCACCAGGGTGTTCACAGCCAGGATCTCACCAGCGGCTTTAGGCATTATTTCCCCAGTGGCGCGAGGACTCTGTGTAGCAGGAACTAGCACTGACAACAAAGACCGCAGCCACCCGCTATTCACCATGCCCAACCATGCCAGGCCTGGCTCTGTGGACTCCTCACTACTCTTACAACATCCTTGCCAAGAAGGCATATTTGCTCTAGGATTCAGAGACAGGGCTGAGGCCCCAGAGTGCCCAGAGAGGGCAGGAGACTCCTCAGCAGCTGCTAGCACCCAAGCTGTGGGCGCCAGACAAGTTGTAGCCCACCCCAGGCCCATTGTTCATGAGTGAGACCTGCAGACAACAGATCACTCATGTGTCTACTCAGACTCCGGCCCCACTCCCTTTTTTATTCTTATATTTTAGGGACAGGGTCTCGCTCTGTTGCCCAGGGTGCAGTAGCATCATTATGGCTCACAGCAACCTCAAATTCCTGGGCTCAAGTGATCCTCCTGCCTCAGCCTCCCAAGTAGTCAGGACTACAGGTGTGTGAACCACTACACCTCATTAATTCTTTATTTTTTTAGGGACAGGATCTCATTATGTTGCCCAGGCTGGTCTTGAACTCCCAGGTTCAAGGAATCTTCCCACCTCAGCCTCCCAAGGGCTGGGTGTGAGCCACGGAGCCCAATCCAGACCCCTTTCCTGAAGCCCCAGAGCCTCCCTCACACCCTATAGGCCAAATGTCCCTGAAAACTTCACAATGCACAAGAGATCTGCCCAATACCACACGGTGGCCCTGCACAGGGGCAGAGTAATGCACAGGTGCATCTGGGAGGAAAAAGTTTTTGGAGGTTTTTTTACCCTGAGTAGGATAGCTCCCTCCTTAGTCAGTGTGTGGCTATTCCAGACCTCCTGGTCCCACTCGTGGATGACAGCTCACTCAATGAATTTCTTTTTTTTTTTCTCTCTCTTTTTGCTTTTTAGTGGCTTTATTCACTTGACATTTTTTCCATGCAAATGGGTGAAACTCTGCTACTGACAGAACTATAGACGGGGTGCAAAAGTAACCTCCTATTAGAAGCTGGCAACATAAGACCCACCTGACACATGGAAATAACATAAGGTTCACAGCAAACAGATCAGTAAAGGCGTATCAGCAGGAATCACAATATTAAGTTCATGGAAAACCGCGGGAGTCAAGGCCTAAGGCAATATTCATCATGGTGATTGGAGAGCTTCTCCATGAGGACATGCAGAGAATTCCTCAATTGCAGTCCCCTAAGTTTTCTCCTGATTTCCCTCATCTCTTCCACGAACATTTCCATACCATCTCCCATCTCCACCCATTCCATCATTGACCTGCTTTTTGGGTACGGCCCACTGAAAATTAGGGCAAGTCCATGAGCCTGCCCTAGTCTACTGTTTCCTGCAGCATGGGGGGGAGGGCTTTGCTTCCTCCCAAATGGCAGTCTTCCTCTCCATTCCAGATGCACGGGGGCTCCCTTTCTTTGTTTTCCTGGGCCTATCCTCCCAGTCTCGACCTCCTGACTCTCACCACAGGGTGTGCCACAGGGACACTTAGTCGCACAGATGTGTTGATTGCTCTGCTGTCCCCAGTCTGATGCCAGCTCAGTGAGCAGGGGCAATGGGGAGCTGGTAGCCACATCCAATAACCACTGCACCAAATGCTGTGTAGCTCTGCAGCTCTGGGTCACTGTCAACTCACTGAATTTCTTAAGTGACAAACTGTCCCCTACCACATCTATCTCCTAAGCACCATGAGGACCTCGAGGTCACCCTCACACTGCCTGGGAGGCACACAGACTGAAGCTGGGAGAGGCCAGCCCATTCTTCCACCAAGAGACATGCTGGGCTTGGGGGACCACCACACCCTTGTCCTAGGGAAGCTTAATTACAACAAATGTATCATTATAAATATGATGCCCATCAGGAAAATAAACATATACTGCTCTCAGAACCCAGTCAGTCATCA